CCTCCAAAAGATTAAGACTCATATTTTTTGAATAGCCTAAGTTGAAAGAACTCTCCATTTTCAGTTCTATAAAACTGAAACTTATTCATATGAAATGCTGATTTCATCATCCCCATTTACAATCTGCAGAAACCCTCCCAATCTAAAGCCACCATAGTTTGTGAAAATAAATACAACTGAGACAATCAACCCAGAAAACTATTTTGAGAAGGTGGAGATGTAATGGCAACATTTACTCAGGTAAGTCAAACTGAAGAATTGGGGTAAGCAAAGCATTTACCTAATATATTATCATGTGGGAATAGCTATTTGGGTATGCATTTCAATGTATACCACACTTCTATTCAAATAAATTGTGTAGTTTGTGTAGGCAAGAAATTTGGTTACCCTTGTGAATAGTTGATTTTCAAAATTCAAGTTAAATATTTATTGTAAAATACATTGTTTTTATCTTTTTAAATTGATTTTTGAGAGAGAGAGTGCACGCATGAGAAACATCAATTTGTTGTTCCACTCATTTATGCATTCATCGGTTGATTCTTGTATGTGCCTTGACCGGAGATCGAACCCCACAACCTTGGCGTATAGGGATGATGTTCTAACCAACTGAGCTATTCTGCCAAGGCTCTTTTATATCTTCTTAACTAGGAAAACCTGAATAAGGTGGTTTTCCAAGACCAATTTCTGTAATTATCATTATTTATCATTCCAAAGCATGTCTTATTGCCTACAGTGAATGATATTTTTGTGTGACTTGATTTTATTATTTTTAGTTTTATGATTGTCCTTTAATTCCATCCTAACCCAATTCCTTTCACATCAGCAAGAATCACCAGATGATAGAGTAATGATGAAGAGAAGATTTCAAAAACAAATAAACCACTTTCTAAGTCCCTGAAAATACTATCTAAAATAAGACAAGATCAATTAAATAAATTAGCAAGTGAACATTGTTTTACTCAAGAATCTATTTCTAGATTTGATTTTTTTTTAATTTTAAAGTTTTTATTTTTTATCTTCACCCAAATATATTTTATTGATATTTAGAGAGAGAGAGAGAGAGCGAGAGAGAGAGAAATATTGATGTGAAAGAGAAACATCAATTAGTGATTAGTTGATTCCCTGACAGGGAATCACACCAGCAACCTTTTTTCTCTGATGGATGGGATGATGCTCCAACCAACTGAGCCACCCAGCCAGGACTTGATTTTTTGAATGTTGTTTTTCCATTCAATTATTTATGTCCAATTTTGGTCGTCTCACTTATTACAAGTTCCTCTTCTACTAGTTGAAAAAATATTTAAGCCTAAAATCTATTGAAACATATTTTTAATATAACATCTAATTTAATTTTCATGTCATTCCACAGTAAATACTATTATCCCTTATTTTACACGAGGAATTTATATCTAAGTCATTAAATAATTTTCTCAGAATAACTCTGCTATTGGGATTGAGAGATCAAGAATTTAACCAACATAGGCATACCATAAGGTTCAAATTACCATTTTGGTGCTTGTGAGTTATTCTTTAAATTATAAATAAAACATTGATTGGATGAGATTATTACCCTCTAGATAACATAAACTTTATTGTGAGACTAAAAAAATTTCACTTGGCCAAACTCTCTTAGTAACAAACACACAAAAACATTAAAATAGGCATTAAACTCAGTTTTATTTTACTGAACCATGTTATAAGAGTAACGTAAAGATGTGATTGTTTTTCACCAAAGTGTCTATTAATTGCCAAAGAGTTAGACATCCTCTCATACTTGTGGTCTTTTACATAATCACATCAAACACTTCAGAGGAGATGGTGATAATCTAGGTCTAGATTAGAAAACCTTGGTTTAGTGTCTTATTTCCATTTCCTCTAGATTTTGCTCCTTGTTGGTGGGATTAAAAAAGCAATGCTATAACTACTGCTTTCATGATATGGTCTCCAGATGGCTGACTAAAATTGATTCCATCACCTTGAGGTTATTCAAGTTATTCCAAGCAGAACTGGAGGAGGTGGGGTCAAACATGCAGACATAAAAGAGCTTATTTGAGGATATAAATACTTGTGCATATTGGAATCTTTGGTAGAATTGTATTTTTCTAAAATAAGAATATGGATGTTAACAAAAGGTAGAAGTTAAGAGACCTTGAATGTGTTCTGGGGTTATTTTCTTTCCTGTTTATCAGAATTTGAATCTAGGAAAGCCGTATTTCCTGGTTAGATGCCTGAGTCCTGCTTGGTATATATGATCTTCAGCGGTAGAAAAGAGTTATGATAGCTCCAAGAACATTAACTTGTAAAAGTATCTTTGAAAGGATATACATTTTAATAGACATCAAATAGACATTAAAAATTATAAAAGTATTTATATTAAAATATGTTAATGTCTATTTGAATACTTAATGTCTATTTGAATATATTAAATATAACATAAACTAGACAAATATAACGTTATATTAAAGAGCATATTTGTCTAGTTTATGTTATATTTAATAACCAGAGATTTAAGAAGAGCATTATATTTGTCTAAGGGAGCATTAAGAAGAGCGTTATATTTGTCTAGTTTATGTTATATTTAATAACCAAAGCAGATATTTATATGATTAACAAAGGTAGATACAGAGTTTATATTTTAATTAGTTTAATAGGCAAAACCCCCCCACAAATCTAAAGGAATTTGTAAAAATATAAAACTCGCCCAGTCGGCAGATGTGGCTCAGTGGTTGAGCATTGGCCTATGAACCAGGAGGTCACAGTTCCATTCCCAGTCAGGGCACATGCCTGGGTTTCAGGCTGGATCCCCAGTGTGGGGCATGCAGGAGGCAGCTTATCAATGATTCTCTCTCATCATTGATTTTCTCTCTCTTTCTCCCTCTCCCTTCCTCTCTGAAATATATCCTTATTATAGCATTTAAGAAGTTCCAAATGGTTCTGAAGACCGAAGTCATGGTCACTCTCTATCTGTGTCTAAAAAAGATATATTTGATAAATGGCCTTTTTCTGACCTTCAAGAGCACCCCTTCCACAAATCATCACATGCTCCCTATCTAACTAAATTCATTTGTGTCTTAAACACGATCCCTCCTTTTGGCCAAATGGGTTATTATTTCAGTTCTTTTTTTTTTCTTCTTCATTTCCCCCTTACCTGCCCACACCCCATCTCCATAACACTTTGTACCTCATTTGGTCCCTTGTTCTATCACTATGGCTTTGCAAATCACTTTTCCCATTTGTAATATCTTCCCTTTGCACCATCCATGCATATGGTTCCTTCCTTTAAAATGTAGCTCTCTTCTTTGAGAAATATGTGATTCTGTTTCATTCTCAGTTATTTCATCCATGCAAGCTTTTAGCAGTGTACTAACTTGGATTTGTTGGTATGTTGCCTTGAAGTATGTGCTGTCAGCTTTTTTCACCTGTTTATGTTGTATCTCCTAAAGGAGATTATTGACTCTAAGACAATGTCTTCTAAAAATTGCATCCACCCTAAGTGCCTAGAACAATGTTCACCCCATAAAAAGTGCTGAAAAAAAGTTATTGCTCAATTGTTTGGCTTGCTACATTTTCTGTTCCAGGGAAACCAGTACAACATACTTTGAACATCTTTTATGTCTTTAAAATTATTATAACGTGAAGACTGCCAAATTGTAACCATTTCCATGTCACTGGATTATTTATTTTAAATTGGTAAAGAATGATGACCACAAAAATTATGCCCTTGAAGAGAGTATGGTGGTAACGTCAAATATATTACTTAACTTAAAAATCCAAACAGGGGTGGTTAGGGTTAAGTCAAAACTTAGGTTTATTTTTAGTTCTCAAAGAGACTAGTTAGGGAGCTTCACTTGAATATCAAAGCCTCTAGCAAACTCGTGAAGCATTTGAAGGTACATAAAGACAGATGTGATATAAACTTTAAATTCCCACTACACATTTACAACAACTCCCATCAGTCCCTCGAATAATTAGATCATTAGAAAATACATAAATATAGCCCATGGGGTGGAAGGAGGGGGGTGGAGAGAAGTCTCTAGATAGCTTAAGATCCAAGGGTGGGGAGTGTTGGTTTGTTTTCAATCCATCTGCGGGTCGCTGATTAGATTCAGCACGCTGGCCAGCTCGGCTCTCGGCGGATTTATTGGCCTAAGAGAGGAAGGAGCACAGGGAGGAAGGCACCATCTGCTGCTTTTGAATTAATAGATAACTGGGAGCCAGGGATGAAGACAGTGCGACAGAGTCATCGTATTAGATGTTGATGCCAACGAGTTTTCTTTCTTTTTTTGGGGGGGGGGGACTTTGTCTAATCTCGGGGTCCCCAGGCCTCTACACGGATCCTCCAGCGAGCTAGAATGGAGAAAGGGCTGAGCAACCAGAAACCCTTCTGTTTCTCTGCTTGGCTCATCACGGCAAGAAAGTGTTCCCAGTTCTTGGAAATGAAGGATGTTCATCATAGCTTTTTTCGGGTTAGGCAAGACGGGGATTCTACTTAAATGAGTTGAGCTGCAAGGCCGATACACAAATCCGCTCTCCTGATCACTGTTATTTTAACGAGAGTGGGCGTATGCAAAGCAAATTGCTGGAGTCCGAGTTTACACAGGTGGGACCCATACGCTGCCCACGCCCCAGGTGCGAAGAAGACGGGAAAAGAGGTAGACTCTTTACCATACGGCATCTCGCTGGCTTTCGCTTAGTGAGAGCTCTGGATTTAGCCTCCTCGCCAACAAGTCATCACTGGGTAGCGCATTTCTTCCTCCCGCAAGAACTTTTGTCCGCGGGAGGGGGAGAGAGGTCGAGGCAGTGAGAGCTGAGGATCAAGGAGGAAATTGTCCACAAAAGGAAGGGGGAGAAGAGGGTAGGAGAGCGTTAGGGTCAGTACTGAAGCTCTGAGACTCTGGGGTCGCTCGCGCTCTCCGCCTCCAGCCCTCTGCAGCCACCCTTTACGCCACGGACACTGGAGAGTTAAGCCAATAAACACGTAAGCGCCGCTCCCTCCCCAATCGGCAAGTTGCCTCTTCGGCTCTTGGCTGCATCGACAGCTTGCAACACTCGGCATCTTTTCTGCAGGCGCCTCCTTCAGCGGCTGCAGATGGCATCCGGCTGCGGGCTCCGGGCTGGCCATTGACTGTCCCCTTTGCCCACCGCGGACCCACGGACGCACCTCTCTCTTCCCTTCCTCCCCTCGCGCTCCTGGGTTTGAGCGCAGCTCCGGATCGCCGGGCGAAGGAAGCAGTCGCGGCGGCCGAGGCTGAGCTGTAGGGCGCTCGCTCCCTGATTTGGGGAGAAGCGCCCATCCGGGAGAGCCGACCCCCAGCTGCTCCAGCGCCCCCCATCTTTTGCATCCCAAGTCGGGGCTCCAGGGACCCCCTCTCCAGGCGGCACCATGCTGGACCCTTCGTCCAGCGAAGAGGAATCGGATGAGATCGTGGAGGAGGAGAGCGGCAAGGAGGTGCTGGGCTCGGCCGCGTCCGGCGCGCGCCTGTCTCCCAGCCGCACCA